AAATAAATAAATAATTCAAAACACATTTCTGACAAAATCAGTGTCATTCTGCAGATGTCTACTGGGACAGATGTTGACAAAAAAAGGAAAAGGAAAAGGAAGGGAAGTGTCACTCATTTTCCCCTGGATGGATACATCTTGAGTAACACTCACAGTGTGAATATAGAGTCTTCATTTGGCAGTAATGGTGTAAGAATGGAGCCATTCCCAGAGAGTAATGAGACTGGAATCCTTTATCTGAATCCTCAAACACCAAACTTCTCTCTTGTGGAGAGGTTTGCAGGGCTTTCACCAGGAGAAGAAACACCAATCCAGGATGAGCAAGAACACAAAGGGGCATCGCTACGATGCATTACATACACTAAGACCAATGAAATATGTAAACCAAATGACGTGCTCCAGGATGCTGTGACACAGAATGAAAGCATGTTCTTGAAACAATCCAAGAGCCAAAGTGATGTCTCAGACCAACAGAGGACATCTAAGCTAGAGTTAAGTAGTGAGGAATCTTCTCCAAGCGAAGGTGAGAATAAGACCAAACATCTGAATGTAAATAGTCCTTCACTTATGAAATTGCTTAAAAAGTGTAAAGACGACAAAATCCCTCGACTTTTGGTAGCAATGAAAAAACGCAATGGAGTTGACACTGACACAGAGGAACGTCCATTCAAATGCACGCACTGCCAATGGGCTTTCAAGAAGCTGTGCAACCTGCAGAGTCACTTACAAACACACACAGGCCTCAAGCCGCATGTATGTGATATATGTGGCAAGGCTTACTCTCATCAAGGCACGCTGCAGCAACACAAGCGTCTGCACACGGGTGAAAGACCGTATCACTGCCCCTTCTGTGTCAAAACCTATATCTGGTCCTCAGATTACCGTAAGCATATCCGTACACACACTGGTGAAAAGCCATACATCTGTGACACCTGCGGCAAGGATTTCATCCGCTCTTCAGACCTGCGGAAGCATGAGCGGAACATGCACACCAATGACAAGCCCTTCCCATGCACGCACTGCGGCAAGACCTTCAATAAACCCCTAGCTCTGAAGCGCCACGAGCGTAAGCACCTGGGAGAAAGACCCTTCTCCTGCCCCGACTGTGGGAAGAGGTTTGCCCTGGCTAGCCGCATGGCAGAGCACCAGAAAATCCACAGAGGAGTGCGTCCTTTTGTCTGCTCTGTGTGCTCCAAGTGTTTCACAAAGTCCTCCAACCTGACCGAGCATGAAGCCATTCACAGCGGAGTGCGGCCCCATAAGTGCACAGAATGTGGCGTGGCATTTGCCATGGCTTCCCGTCTTGTTCGTCACCAGTTCATACATAGTAAAGAGAAACCCCACAACTGCGTGGGCTGCAGCAAGAATTTTAGCCACCCAGCAAAACTGAAGCTTCATCAGGAGCAAAACTGTGCAGGGAGGATTTTTGTTTGCACAGAATGTGACAGATCTTTCCAGTGTTCCACAAAACTTGCACAGCATGTGCAGAAACATGGGGACAAAAGTGTCGCAGCCTGTTAAAGACAAGAACTGTACATATCCATTACTGTGCTACAGCTGTTTCATTTCAGTTATTAAGGTCAAGAAACATTGGACAAAAGGTTATAGGGCACCACTTTACATATGCTAATGAGCAATATTTATTTAGAGTGCCATGAGCTGTAAAATCTTCACTCTGTTTCCCCAGGGTGCTGGGTTCCCACGAGAATGTCTTGGGATAAAAATTACCGCCAGCACAGCACTGACACTGGAGCTGACAGTTTAATGGTGTGATGTGAAACTCATTAAAAGAGCACTGAACCCTTTTTTTAAAACTGTGAATGCACTGTAAATGTAATTAATGTTACCCACAATATAGCAGTTTTGCATTTAGGCATTTTATCATACGACTTCTTCAATCATGCACTACAGCCATGAACTCTACAACACATTTCCCAAAGGAAGTGTGGAAATACATAAATGCACCACCACTCTGTAGCAACAGTGGCACACTAGACATACCAGCTTCAAATGATAGGCAGCTTATTGTTCTTAACCCTTGCAAAGAATAATACAAATACAATTACAATATTTAAGTACTGCTCTTGAGTAGATAAGATTTTGCATCACTGATACTAAAAACATGACTGTGACAACATTAATAGACCAGTGCATTTGTAATCATTCAGGGAAGCTGGATTGCCAGTCAGTTACTGCTTGCTCTTTTTGCTGATTTGGACTTTTTGGATGTGAATTTCACGTACTAGTACTTTGTATTCATAGTGCGCTTTATTTATTCAACTACAGCATTTGTCATGCTTACTTTTGTAGTTTAATTTCTATTTTACCAACAGAAATACACATAGTGAGAAAAATTGAGTTTGCCCGGATACAGAGTGTGATATTTTCTAAACACAGTAATAGCATTTATGATATTGTACTAGATGTCAGATTCCTATACGTTAGGTTTAAATGTATTTTAATCATGCATGCTGCCATCTTCTGAGTTTTGGTTCTTTGTAATCATATTGCTACATGTACAAGAAGCGTAGCATGTTTGGAGTTTATCAGTGAGTAAAAGTGAACTAGCATTTTACTGTGAATCCGAATCTCAATAAAGATTTTGTATAAGATGTCTGCCTGTTGAGGAGTTTTTTTTATTTGTTTATTTTCCAATTATCAAAATATGTAACTTTGTTCGAAATATATTAGGTTCTAGTATAGTCTCATCTGGATGCCATTTTAAGCAGTCTTTCATAAATCCACTCTGATAATTTGTATAGTGACACTTTATTGGCAGGACGTATGCCGTAGTTCACATGCTGCTCATCTGCATGTGTGTGTTTGTTTGTGCGTGTGTTGAATTCAAGGCCAGCGTGTGCCACTCATTCTTGGCTACTGCAGACTAATCGTAAAAGGAGACGGCACCTGCCGTGTTGTCACTTGCTGTACATTAATTGAGAGGCTCTGTCGGGAATTGCAGCTATTTCTTGGCAAGATGTAATTATTCAATATGTGACTATTAACATGACTGCAGATACAGCTTTTAATAATACTTTCCTCTGCTGCGAGAATCTGCTGAAAAGCTAGAGAATAAACACATTTCATGTGGTCGTATAGAGGTACAAAAACACAATACATTGAAACTTAAAGTCAAATGACTTAACAACATCCAGTTACATCCAAACATGTTTACACGGTGACACAGAAATAAAAAAGGTCAATCTAAAATCAATTACAAGAGTATATATTACTGTTTTTATATACAATTTAAAGAGCAGTGTGTAAAATCAAGCTTTTATATGCTGAGCTCCATTTCATTACAAATAAGTCATCAGCACATAAACAGTTTGGTCCTGGAAGCGTCTGCTCTCTGGTGGGTGTAGAGGCTGTAAGAGGGTACTGGGTATTTGGCTGGTAGAGGTCTTCCCTGAGCTATCCTCCCCTCTCTCGCCATGTGGTATCATCAATCTTGGCAGTATGACAACATGAGAAGACACTATTCCAATTTTATTTTCAGCATTTATTTTCTGTCCCGTGTGCAATTTAAAATACAACTGTTGCACTTTTCAGATGACAGAAAATAATCAAGTACTGCCCATGATGTGGTACAGCTCTGCAAAGCTGGGCTACAAATTATGCTTAAAAAGCTTCTGAGACCACAGCATTTATTAGTGTGCGTCTTATTTCTGTTTTAAAACAGTGCTTGGAGCATAGATAATATAACTGCAGTGGTATATGTGTGTATATCTTTAAATATTTTCCACGCTTATATTTAGCTGGATATTTAATTGCAGCATATAGCACAGATGATCGTGGCATAGTGATCACAGTTACACCAACATTTTTTGCCACTGTAGAACTTCAGCCCCAGTGTTGCTGGCGTGATTGCTCTGAGTTAAGCTATCCCTTTCCCAAGATATGTACTGCGTCTGCTGGTAATTTCCCCTAAGTCAGCTTTTAGAACACACCTCAGCTGTTTTTGTCACTGCAATATGAGTTGATATCCAAGTCGATGCAGAGTATTCCTGTAACTAACAAGGAACATCATGGTTTGCAAGCTCTAGGATTTTAAAGGGCATTACTAAAAAAGAACTAGTGAGCGGTATGCATCTTACAGTACACGACATGTGGTGTGACATTGTGATATCCTCACTTTTGGTGCAAGACGCATGATCCTGCAAACAGAACATGTTTAGTTAATGTGAATCCGTAAAGAATTATAAAGAATCAATATGCTTATCTTTAACCTCCTAAGACCCGAACTCTTCCACGACATGCATTTTTTATTTCTCTTTGATATTTGGGCATATTGGGGCCCGATGAATGTAAAAACAAAGAATTACCTGATTTTTTTTAACCTTATTTTTGTTTTTAAGAAAAATAAGAGCCACATATGAGGATATTCGTTTAAAATTTCGATAGAACAGTAGCAGTATAATGCCCTCGTAAGTGGATATCAGGCCCATGTAGAGCAAAATTGAATATTTTAGTCTAAATAACCCAAAATGTGATGCCCACATATGTGGACGGCAGGTCCTAGGAGGTTAAGTAACTTCATTTACCTGTGACAGAGGTGAGTCTCACGGTTTCTAACCCAGCTGCTGGCCTATAGTGAAGACATGGGTATTTAAAGAAAATGCTCACATTTGTAGAGTTAAATGGAGGTAAAATGTCCTTAGTAACAGCCAAAACACTTGCAATGTTTTAAGTTTCTGCACTAAAAAAAAATCCAAGCGGTGTCCATCATGACTGTAATATATGAAACTGGACACGCTAGCTAAGACACTCATTGACCTCAGAACATACCATAAGAATGTGGAAGCTGACAACATGTTTATGTTGAAATCTATTATTAAAATAGTGATAAGTGACTAACACTGACACAGAGCCAGAATATTATGTAACTGATCATGTGACCCACCTGCTTTCCGTGAGAATGGATTAATCCCAGCAGTGGAAGACTGTGGTGGAAACGTGCCAGGAGGGACACTGGCAGGCGGTGGAGGAGGACAGACGTCAGCAGATGGCGAAAAGTCCTGTAACATACACAGCGATTAGTATCATTAAATGAAAACTGAGATCACATCTGAGCTCGTATGCTTGATACTTACTGTGTGAGCTGGGCCTCCCTGCTCTGAAGCCTCTTTTTGGACCACCTTAGGTTTTGACTTGAACCAGCCACTGAACCATCCTTTCTTTGTGTTCTGCTTTTAACACAGAACAAAGTGTGATGCATGTAAACTAATTCTAATGTCACTGAAAGCTGTGTGACATATGATAGGCAGCCCACCCACCTGTTTAGGAGGCTCAGTGGTGTCCTCAGAAGCTTTCAATCCTTGAGGGACAATCTGCTCGACTTGTCCCGGCTGACCGAAGTTCGTCTCAATCATCTGACCGTGCATCTTCAAAGGCAAATAAAGGCAAACATTTTAACTTATAAGCAGCACTAATCAATGCACAGCACAATACATTTGAATGTAATCTTTAAAATCATGCTTATGCGATAAATAAATCAAAGCGAAAAGTTGCCAGTGGAATATTAAAATGCATTTCTCACCATCCCTGCTCCAGAGGATGCTCCGGCCCCTGTAAAAGCAATAAAAAGAAAATGTCACACTGACTCACCGCGGGCCATAGTAAATACCCGAACAGAGAAGGGAATGATTGCTGTCTAACATTAGAGTCTCACCCTCTGCTATTGCTGGCAGATTATTTGGAGGACAATGTTGTGAGGCACTTTTGACTTCACCACTATCTGTGTTATGATAACTGAAGTTCTGGCTTGGAGCCACTGTGGGCACTGAGGGAGTATAGGCCACTGTTACTGGTGTAGCCGGGCAGTGGGCCTGTGGCCTAGACAAAGAGGCAGAGAGAGATCAGTGACATAATAGACTCTGTCAGGACTCAGTTACACATATCAAGTAAGAGTGTTGTCTGTGGGAAAGAAAAAGTAAATGAGGCACACCAGTCCTGAGCTGCTCCCATGCCCCATGACCTCACTGCCATTTCCTCAGTGTCTCCTCCATCTTCATGCAATATGCTTTCTTGGTCCTCATGTCCTCTATAATAAAGGAGTTCAGGCTCAGGACTCTGAATGCTGTGGCTCAAATCATCTAAATCTGATTCTGCATAGGGAAAAAAAGCATTTTATTAAGGTATAATTCTGCTCTACAGTGTGAAAAAAGCTACACAATGCAAAAAGTTACCTGAGGGCATTTCATGTGACACAACAGTATTCCCAGGAGCTGGCTGGTATGCTTCAGTAGAGTCGACAGTTCCAGTCTAATAAAGATAACACCATATTAGTTACAGAGTTTAAGTTCCATTACAGCTATGTTAGCAGTGTGAGTTTGTACCGTGTACACTCCACAGATGCTAATATTTCCCAAGTACAACATTTACCATGTGATGAAATTAATTTGACAGTCATTTTGTTATAAAGCCAAAATGACAATAGTTAAAAAGAAGTGAAATATTGGTGGTGCTAGACGAAAGGAGCTGGAGCTGTCTTTGCAAAATTCAGAAGCAACCATTCAATATGTTCATCTTATGTCAAACTTGTCATCATAGGCTACAGTGCCTGGGATCCCTGCATGTCTGTACCAAATTTCATGGTAATCCATCTAATAGCTGCTGAGATATTTTAGTTCGCTCTACAGTAGAGGAGCAACCACCAGATGGGATAACATTACCAACTCTACTGACACAGTAACATGACTAAAAAAGCTTTGCTACACAGCTGGCATACTGGCATAACCAATATTCAATACATTTTATAATGATTAATAATTATTATTTTTAGTAGCATAATCAGCCCTGAATGTTTACATAAATATGGAAACTGAAGCAATTTAAGGGACCATTTTTATTCCTTTAAAATCTATTAAAGTAGGTTTTTTTCTTATTAATGAGTAAGTAAAGGGATTTGAAACGTAGAGAAAGATATAATGAAAATATTTAGCGGTCTATCATAAATGGCTGTGAGGCAGGATATGAACCCAATACGCTGGATTCAGGAAATGGAACATGAACTCAAAAAACAGCTCTAATGGTGAAGTCGTCAATGCAGAGCTGTAACCAGGAATCAAAAACCTACGAATCTAGGGTAAAATTCAGAACAATGGAGCACATAACCGAGAGTAAAGCAGGAACCGCAGGAACCACGGAAAGCATGGAGCAGAGGAGCACATAACACTGAGAAAGGACACAACAAAGGGCAAGAGGAGACTTGAGTTATAAATACACACAAGGTACTTAGATAGATGGGAAACACCAGGGAACACAGCTGGAACTAATCAGGGAAATTAGACTCAGGAAAGTAAAACTGAACACTAAACACGTAGGGCAAAGGTTAACAAAATGAACCAGGAAATAACTAAGGGAGGCAGGAATACACAGACACCCTAACCAAACCTAAACATGAAAAAACTAGATGTGAAATCAGAACTTTGAAATAAAAGAAAAAGAAACCAAGAAACACTTTAATTTTAAAAAAAGGTATCCCAGACCCAGGGATCATGACACAACCATCAGAACAATGATGATTTGCAAGCCTAATTCATGAAACAACTTATATAACAGGAACGCAACAGTAACTTATGTGTGCAAATAATACCACTGATATCTGAAAAAATATGCCTCACTTACCGTTTTGATTAGGTACCCCGTATCACTCCTGTTCAAGGTGTGATGAGGGAAAAATGTGCACAATAAAATCACAAGTCACTTGTGAGCAGTTGTGATTGCTGACAGTGCTGAATTGATGCTAAGCTAAATTAGAAACCCTCATGTATCATACATTTCCTCCACGATTTAATTCTTCCTTGTACAGCAGTGACAACGGAGACATTTCCTCTCACACACAGGTAAACATAATATGATGTGAAAAGACTGAAGAACCTGATCACCTGTAAACTGTGGTGCCTAGCACGTAGGTGCTTCAGCCAATCAGGTTCTTGCCCGTCTCTATGGAGCCCTGCTTCACTGAACTGACCCTCTGAGTATCTCAGTCTGTCTGACAGCTGCAAGAAAAACATACAGTATAACCATTGTGTCGTAATTGAACAGATCACTGATAGTTAGTCAGATGTGTAAGACAACCTGTAGGTTTACCTTGACGACCTCACCAGTCAGCACAAAGAAAGGCTCCTGATGCCTGAGGATCGCCTGTCCGACCACCTCACAGTAATGAAAGGCCTGAGATGAAAGCCCACAGTCCAACAGACGATTGGCGTACAGGAACTTATACACCTGACCAAAATACAACAATAACCACAGTCATGCATTTATTGCAGATTTAATGGTAATGATTCCAAATATTTAAGTCTTTGCTAAGGGTTGTTGGATCTAATGCAGTGAGTCTAAAATAGTGTCCAGAGATACAAAAGATGGGCAAAGTTTTGCCGGCAATCTTTATCCTTCAAGATCAGGTCCTCTACCAGAGGTCTAGGACTTGAGGGTCCCAAGCAGTATCTTTGCTGTTCCTAGGACTGCGATCTTCTGGACAGAGATCTTGGAAGTTGTTCCTGGGATTTGCTGGAGCCACTCACCCAGATCTTCTCAAGGACCATACATTGCAACAAAAAGATATTCTGATTCTGAATGAAATGTTAATGTATTATCTTCCTGTATTGAATCCAAACTAGAAACCTTTTGTTAAACTGTGTAAAAGTGTCTAATAAATTGATGGGGGAAAATGTATTCTATGTGCTAGTGGAGCTGTGTTATAATGGAAAAATGTTAGATGTTAGATGACACAGAGAATATTCGGTGCCTTTAAATTTGATATTTCCATTTGGTACACCATTAACACAAAAAATATAAGTAGCACCCACCTGAAAGGAGGGTATTGAAAAGCTTTTGTTCCCAAGAGTCTGGCAATACTCATATAGTTCAGTGCACTGGATGGCAGTGTTTGTGGCAAAGCACTCAAACAATTTCCTAGAGGAAATAAAAACAGACAAATTCAAAGCAAAGAGCTGACAGAAATTAAGATCAAAATAAGACATGCACGTGTTTCAGCAGAAAATTAAGCTTGTGCTGTCAGTATAACCAGATGAACAGCACTTGGACTGATGAATGGCAGCAAGTCTGAATCACAGCTCACCTGTGGCTGCTGCCTAGAAGTGCCAGTCTCTCAGCCTTCTGTGTAAACACCCCGAAGGGAACACTGGCTGTCAAGTAGCACACATGGGCAGCATGTATGAGGCCTCTGGAGGCTGCACAGGGAAAAGCAACACACATCAGTTTGTATGTGTGTGCATGACAACCTGTCAGTCAGTCGGTGTATCAGTACCGAGTGTATCTCCCATGGTGACGATGGCCTTCTGTTGGATGGCTGGATCTCCTGTCTCATTGGAGAGCATAACAGCCAGATGGGGCCTCCAGTCTCCCCATTTTTCATTTCCACAGCACTGAGCACAGAAAATCACTATTAAACCTTAGTAATAAGATACAGGCTATAGCATAAGCTTGTCTTCATATAAGAGTTTTGTTAGGTTCTGGATATTTTACCGTGGCTGCAGCAGGAATTCTCCCAGACAGCAGCTGGAAGAGAGTCTGGAGGGGATCACTGGGCGTTAGCTGGCCTGTGAACCTGCCAACAGAGCAGCCTGTGTCACTGCACGTCTTAAGCAAGGCTTTACAAAAACAGGAACTATCCCATTTAAAGTGCATCTGTTCTGCTAGTACGCACACAAGTGAAACACCACACTGATAGCTCAGATTCTGCCCCTCTTGTCAATTACAAATCAAAATCAGTCTGCCTATCTGCCAGCCTTCTCCCCAGACATTCCTCTACTGACAACCTGCTGCTGGGCTGCTGAGACATACCACTTAGTCTGTACAAATAGTCTGTAAAAACTAGACTGGGTTACATGATAAATAGCTCACGGGAGTTTAATGAGAATATCTGTATTATAATGATTTCTGTTTATTACTGTTAATGAAAACTAAACAAAAAAGAAAACTAGAAATAAATGATTTTAATTACGAGGCTTTGGTACCGATTTTTAGTGTATGAGGGAAAGCCAACTGTTCTTCTGTAATACGTTTGGTGAACTTTTCAAACGTTTCCACTGACAAACAGCACCTATATTGTCATTAATTAGTTAGTAAATAAAAATGACAGTGAAACTAAAAAAACAACAAAAAAACTAAACATTTTGAAAACAATTAAAACCAACCAGCGCGGTTAGACACACACACTCTGAAACTCTGAAAAATAGCTGACGCTCAAATTAATTGAAACAAAAATATAAAACAAAAAAATTAATGCAATATGGTGCAAAAGCCAAACGGAGTATTTATGGCAAACTGAGTTTGTACAATTATAATGATCTTCAAAGTTAATATCAGGCATGAATATCTTTATTTTTCAAAACAACCTAAACCCCCTTAAGCAGCTTTCTCATAATTTCTTTAGGTAGTCTTCAGGAATACTTCTCCAGGCTTTTTGAGGGACACTCAAAGCTCTTCTTTGGAAGGTTGATGGCTTCTGCTTCATGACAGAACCTCCACTGTGTTTTCAGAATGGTGGTAGATACTCACTACAAGACTTGTTGCCACTGATTGTCAGTCCATGTTTTGATTAATTTAGCATAGTGGAA